GCATGCACTATGGTGCAGGAATCGCTACCCCCTTCCCCCTCCACCACTCCTTCCGTCCACCCCAAACTCCCTGGAGTATTTAGTTTTGCACCTACTGTTGTTGTAGATGGGGGTAATGATGTCTTCTTCGATTTTACTTAGTTTCTTTGGCTTCTCCATGTCTAGATTGTTTATGTATCGAATATCAATTTCCATTTTTGTTGACGCTATATGGTACATTTTTACTTCATGTTTTCGTTTTAGAGATAAAATAAATACAACAATACACTATATCATCATTTCTTTTAACAGTTTTGACGGAAAGATATAGTTGTGAAACAAGATATCAATTGACAAACGTTTCCTTCACAAAGAACTGAAATTACATATTTCTATTTGGAATATTGTCAAAAAATACGGAACTGCAATAACTATATACGACTGAAATACATGAAAAATGGTAGTCTTTAAATTGTATATACGGTTTAAATTAGGTATGTACCGCTATGTATCAGTCTAGACTGTTCCCAAAAGTCTAACTGGAAACGAATTAAACCATTGCTAACAATAGTCTGCTGCAATATACATGAAGCAATGGATCTCCATATATATTGATAGAAGTGTTTCATTCTACAATTTCGAGACTCCATGATTTAAAGATATAACTTTAACCTTAACGCAGTGTTCTAAAAAAACATTTGGAAAACTACGCGGTGTAATTTTGTAGGGGCGGGAAAATGTCACATGAGGTACCACATTTACACGGCGTGAAATATATTTGTGACAGAATTCGCAAGTTCGAGTGTTATATGTACGGTCGAACTGTGTCTGCTAGCTCGTTTTAACTCCCTCATCAGCCCGACTAAATCGATTGATTCTCTCAAATTCGCCTCCAATATATTGGGTGTGTAGTCGCTGCTAATAACGGTAGTACGAAAGTTACGAACGTTTTACCATAACAGCCATTACAACTACATCTGTCTGGTTTATATCAAGTCTTTAAACTCATACGCTATGAACTAAAATATCGTGCATTTTCTAAAGATATATATTGATATTTATTAAGAAGCCCACTTCTTGTTTCGTTAAACGCCAATCATATTATTCCAAATAAATGTAGTGTAACGGACGTGTCAGTTCACATGATTCTCGGGAGAATTCCAAACGTCTCTTGTCATAAAAAAAAACCCACTTGTTTGGAGTTCACAGAAAAAGTGTTAATCGGGCTGACTGCGCCTACATTTCATTCAAGGTCATTCCATAAATTGGCAGTAACGTTACCAATGGCTGACTTCAATAGGTCTTATACGTTACTTACGTGTATCCGATAGTACCAGCAGTCGATAACACATCATAGCGTCATGATTGTCCCACAGAAGCGTGAATCTCTGTAGAGGATTTCATAGGAGTTAGAATACTCAAAGCAAACGAAAATGTTCATAAAAGGGACAAGATATCGATTATATACCAATGATATTATCGGCTGTCTGTCCGACTGATGACAAGAAAATACATTCCAGAACATCACAGTTTATGGGTGAAGCACCCTGCTATCGAAACAGTGAGAACTCGGAATGAGGACTAGCTATTTTATATAGAGTGCATGAATGGCTCTATATTTCAATTCCCTTGAATGATGAACACATACAGAGCAGCACGCTCTCAACCTTTCATACATGGGTCTTGTGAACCCGGGATATCGATATTTGTCAAATTAAAAAAGGCCTTTTTAGTGCATGTTCCCGTAACTTACAAATCATCTATATGTTATATGAACATGTTTTAATTCAGCGATTATTGAACAGAATTTAATCACACACACACCTTGTAAGCAATACCTCAAAAAGAACAAGGCGAGTAATGTTTCATAAGACAGTAGTTACAAACATGTTTCGACCTATTAAGAACCAGCTGACCGTGTTATAGCATGCTATTTCGTCGTATAGTACCCCAATGTGACATGTCATTAAAAGTATTTTGGCTTCCTTCTGTGAGCGTATGACTTGGCACCACGAGTGTCCCTGTAGGAGATGAGTGTGAACGGACTTGGTCTGTATAACTCTTCGCAACATATATTCGCATAGGGATTCCTATGATATAGTTGCAATGTGCTGATGAAATACATTACAATCCAGTAGATCTCGAGGGCTTTCTATACACAATATCGACGCAACAAACCCAGTCTGTGTCTGTTTCACTTTACGGTCTTGCCATTGGATTATGGAAAGATTTAGTTAACGGGAAACTTTGCGAGCAAATAAAATAACAGACTGTATTGGTTAAGAAAAGAAGACAGATTTCCTATTGAATTTGTCGCATTTTGTCCACCATTGCATGGTTAAGGTGACCTGAGAGATATTGTTAACTTGTGCAAGAATTCCCCATGATACGTACCAACATAATCTTGTCCTTTCATCAAAAGATCAGTGGGAACATCTCAGGATAAAAATATTGTCAGATATTGTATGGGTTCATGTTGCATTATGTTCGTAACGTTAACTGTATGGGTTCATTACGTAATATGTTCATAATTTCATGGGTTCATATTGTATATTGTTGATAATTTGATGCGTTCATGGTGTATATTGTTGATAATTTGATGCGTTCATGTTTGTATTGTTGATAATCTGATGCGTTCATGTTTGTATTGTTGATAATCTGATGCGTTCATGTTGTTTATTGTCGGTATTTGATGAGTTCATGTAGCATACTGTTGTTATAATTTGACGAGTTCCTGTTGTATATTGTTGGTATTTTTTCGGATTTATGTCGTATATTGTTGGTACATTGTATTTTGACGAAATCATCGTGTGTGATATTGATGATATGAATATTTCATGTTGTTTGACTTTTTCAGATATCACAACACTGCAACCACCATAACGGTTTTAAGTAGTCTTGACATTTCATATTAAAAAGTACTATAATTGTACAATTAAAATGTTTGGGTATCAATATTGGGGTTAAATGTAAAATAAACGTTGCATACTTCAACCATGTTGGTAACAGACATGCGTTTTAAGTGGATCAACAACTAGGGATATCGACGACCAAACACGCTTGCGCTATATACTTAGTAATACGTTATTGCACCATGTATAAATGCATAAAAATATAAACTTTATTTATTTTACAACAATTATGAAACAAGTTATTTCAACTTATATTAATCACTCTTGTTGGCCCGGATGTCAGCGCGTGGGGGGTGGGGGATGGGNTGCGCTATCCACTGCACCACCCGACCACCAAATGCATTCATTACAATTGACGCAATGGGATAGGTCTACTTAACGTAGGTTGTACTATTCCATTGAAAGTATACCTCGGAATTCGAAAACATTAAATAATTATTAGAAGAATATTTTGAGACCAATTGTCTTTTGTTAGTTATTAATATCAAATATATTAATAATCAACTAAAATACATGCACAAAAAAGTGTCAATTAAAATCATAAGATCATCACTTTGTGTTGTTATAGGAAACAGGCACTCAGTTATAAATATTATGAAAGAAGCTTCATGTATAAAATGTATACCATGTATAACCGAGTATGGTTCTGGTTACTGTCATTGATGTTAACGCTGTTGTTTTCAGATCTAAAGAAAAAATATAGTTTTATCCCGATTCAGGAACATTTATTTTTGAAGCTCAAAATTATTAAATAATTTGATATTAAAACCTTATTTTACTAACGAATAACGTATTTGCAAATATATGTAGGATAGGTGCATGTCTTACATCCTCGATATCCAGGGGTTACGCTCACCTACGCTCGCAGCGTATAACCCCTGGATATCGAGGATGTATGTCTCAAGGATCTCAAAAAAGACGATGACATGCGAGTTATAATGTTAGATAATTCTTTAGCAATCACACATTCACAACTACATATATAATAGAATATTAGCACATCTCCCTTACTGTTTTTTATTATTATTGAAGGACAACTCGCAGTTGCAATATACAGTTGTATAGCATGTAAAAATGGCAGCGCTGCATTTCAACTTCAAATTTATGTAGTTTTAAAATCTGATAACACAGAAAAATCTAAGCGTGTATTATCTTACGAAGATATCTTCAGCAGACAAAATTTCAGTTACATTTGTCCGCGGATCGATGTATAGCCCGGAGTACGATTGTCGTGTGTTTTAATTTTTTGATTTATGGCATTGGATGAGGTCTCTGTGGTAACAAGTTGCCACATGAAAAACGAGCTTTCTCTTGGGCTACAACGACTGTGGTTTTACTGAACAATAAATAACAGTTGTAGCGAGCATTGATTTCAATTTTAGACTTAACTGAGTCAGACCACTGAAATATAAGCACAGGCAAACAGGATAAACACAGCCTAGTGGTTAGCCTAACAAGCACGTATTACATTTAATGGTTTATATCAGATTCGCATGTACTTGTTCTGTCGTGTTGTGATATTGGTATGTTTAATGAAGCCGTCGTTATTATGTACGTGTTCATTAGAACAAAAACAAAACGGATGTCACCTACACGTGCAGCTCAGTAAACGATGTACTTATCATCATCTGATGCGACAACCTAATGTCTTGGCGCAATGCTTACGCTGACAGGAAAATATTAAAGATAGCATGAATGCAGAGCAGGGGGTAATTACTAATGCCAAACGAGCGTAAAATACGTAACTGGAGTCCGCTATTTTACAGTGTACCTGCCTCCTGACATCATGTGACGTTCGTGCCGATAGGTGGCGACACATTCGCGCTGCTTCACTTTTTACAATACGTAAATATGTTGCAAACAAATATGACCCCTAATAACAAAGTTACAGATCTCCATTAACCATTGCAGGAACTAGGTGTAAATTGGCTACCAATGGTATATAGGGGTGTGTTAACTGCTGCTGCAGTGGCCTCAGTTTACTCATTATAGTAAATTGAATTAAGACAACTAACAGCAGCACGAAATGCCGATTATATATCTTACTCGGATATCAAAGTATGTAAAGTTCAAAGACGTATTAATAATGATACTATATTTTTGTTGTAGGTGATAATTTCACTGTTGACGCGATAGTGAGCAGAGCCCTGTTTCGTTGAACATAAATCAGTGTCAATGTTTAAAGTGAATAAGCAGTATGTGAGTACTTGTTAACGTAAAGTGTGTTTAGCTACCCCTTAATGTCTATGTCCTAATTTCACAGAAAAAACAACACATCACTGCTGATAGCGTGGAATGATGTCTCCTTTTCTGGTCTACCTTGCTAATTGATACAAGTTGTTTTCTGGATATTTTATTAACCAATTCCGATACGAAAGTAACGATGGATGTAAAGATCGATTATTTAAGAGTTTTGATAAAAATCGGTTGTCGTTTATGGTGTGAAAATGTGATATATTACTAATTAATGTCTTCACCAATCGCGTGACAGTGTCTAGCACACTGGCCGTAAATGAACGTTTCTCCATCCATCAAGAGGAATATTGCCATACTGTTCTGCTGGGATTGTTCAACGAATTAAAACACCTATAGACTGGTGATGTTCGAGGCATTTTGAAAGAAATTTGAAACATACATGCAATCAAACGTCACGTTACAATACCAACCCTACAAAACAAATTTTAACAAGAAATATGTAAGCTTTTTCAATTCCATAAAAAAATATTTGATTGCAGTAAACGTAGGTATTGCAGTAGTTGGTGCACTGCTGTTAATCCTTCCTTACATAATGTAAAACCTGCTAATCCTTCCTTACAAAATGTAAAACCTGCTAATCCTTCCTTACAAAATATAAAACCTGTTAATCCTTCCTTACAAAATGTAAAAATTGTTAATCCTTCCTTACACAAAGTCAAAACCTGTTAATCCTTCCTTCCACAGTGTAAAACCTGTTAATCCTTCCTTCCACAGTGTAAAACCTGTTAATACTTCCTTTCATAGTGTAAAACCAGTTGATCTTGTCTTACACAAATTAACCCCTGTTAATCCTTCCTTACACAATGTAAAACCTGTTAATCCTTCCTTCCACAGTGTAAAACCTGTTAATCCTTCCTTACACAAACTAAAACATGTTAATCCTTCCTTACATAATGTAAAACCTGCTAATACTTCCTTACATAATGTAAAACCTGTTAATCCTTCCTGACAAAAAGTAAAACCAGTTAATCCTTCCTTGCATAATGTAAAACCTGTTAATCCTTCCTGACAAAAAGTAAAACCAGTTACTCCTTCCTTGCATAATGTAAAACCTGTTGATCCTTCCTTACACAAAGTAAAAATTGTTAATCCTTCCTTACACAAAGTAAAAACCTGTTAATCCTTCCTTCCACAGTGTAAAACCTGTTAATCCTTCCTTACACAAAGTAAGAATTGTTAATCCTTCCTTACACAAAGTCAAAACCTGTTAATCCTTCCTTCCACAGTGTAAAACCTGTTAATCCTTCCTTACACAAAGTAAGAATTGTTAATCCTTCCTTACACAAAGTCAAAACCTGTTAATCCTTCCTTCCACAGTGTAAAACCTGTTAATACTTCCTTTCATAGTGTAAAACCAGTTGATCTTGTCTTACACAAATTAAAACCTGTTAATCCTTCCTTACACAATGTAAAACCTGTTAATCCTTCCTTACACAATGTAAAACCTGTTAATCCTTCCTTCCACAGTGTAAAACCTGTTAATACTTCCTTTCATAGTGTAAAACCAGTTGATCTTGTCTTACACAAATTAACCCCTGTTAATCCTTCCTTACACAATGTAAAACCTGTTAATCCTTCCTTCCACAGTGTAAAACCTGTTAATACTTCCTTTCATAGTGTAAAACCAGTTGATCTTGTCTTACACAAATTAAAACCTGTTAATCCTTCCTTACACAATGTAAAACCTGTTAATCCTTCCTTCCACAGTGTAAAACCTGTTAATCCTTCCTTTCACAAAGTAAAACCTGTTAATCCTTCCTTACAAAATGTAAAACCTGTTAATCCTTACTTACACAATGTAAAACCTGTTAATCCTTCCTTACACAAAGTAAAAATTGCTAATCCTTCCTTACACAAAGTAAAAACCTGTTAATCCTTCCTTCCACAGTGTAAAACCTGTTAATCCTTCCTTACACAAACTAAAACATGTTAATCCTTCCTTACATAATGTAAAACCTGTCAATCCTTCCTTACATAATGTAAAACCTGTTAATACTTCCTTACATAATGTAAAACCTGTTAATCCTTCCTTATATAATGTAAAACCTGTTAATCCTTCCTTACACAAAGTAAAAATTGCTAATCCTTCCTTACACAAAGTAAAAACCTGTTAATCCTTCCTTCCACAGTGGAAAACCTGTTAATCCTTCCTTACACAAAGTAAAAATTGCTAATCCTTCCTTACACAAAGTAAAAACCTGTTAATCTTTCCTTCCACAGTGTATAACCTGTTAATCCTTCCTTACAAAAAGTAAAACCTGTTAATCCTTCCTTACATAATGTTAAACCTGTTAATCCTTCCTTACACAAAGTAAAACCTGTTAATCCTTCCTTACAAAATGTAAAACCTGTTAATCCTTCCTTACAAAATGTAAAACCTGTTATCCTTCCTAACACAAAGTAAACCTGTTAATCCTTTCTTACACAAAGTAAAACCTGTTAATCCCTCCTTACACAAAGTAAAACCTGTTAATCATTCCTTACAAAATGTAAAACCTGTTAATCCTTCCTTACACAATGTAAAACCTGTTAATCCTTCCTTACAAAAAGTAAAACCTGTTAATCCTTCCTTGCATAATGTAAAACCTGTTAATCCTTCCTTACACAAAGTAAAAATTGTTAATCCTTCCTTACACAAAGTAAAAACCTGTTAATCCTTCCTTCCACAGTGTAAAACCTGTTAATCCTTCCTAACACAAAGTAAAACATGTTACTCCTTCCTTACACAATGTAAAAACTGTTAATCCTTACTTACACAAACTTAAACCAGGTAATCCTTCATTGCACAATAGTAAACCTGTTAATCCTTTCTTACACAAAGTAAAACCAGTTAATCCTTCATTGCACAATAGTAAACCTGTTAATCCTTCATTACACAAAGTAAAACCATTTTATCCTTCCTTGCACGACGTTAAATCTGTTAATCCTTCCTTACACAAAGTAAAACATGTTACTCCTTCCTTACACAATGTAAAACCTGTTAATCCTTCCTTCCACAGTGTAAAACCTGTTAATACTTCCTTTCATAGTGTAAAACCAGTTGATCTTGTCTTACACAAATTAAAACCTGTTAATCCTTCCTTACACAATGTAAAACCTGTTAATCCTTACTTACACAAAGTAAAACCAGTTAATCCTTCATTGCACAATAGTTAACCTGTTAATCCTTCATTACACAAAGTAAAAACTGTTAATCCTTCCTTGCACGACGTTAAATCTGTTAATCCTTCCTTACACAAAGCAAAACATGTTACTCCTTCCTTACACAATGTAAAACCTGTTAATCCTTCTTTCCACAGTTTAAAACCTGTTAATACCTCCTTTCATAGTGTAAAACCAGTTGATCTTGTCTTACACAAATTAAAACCTGTTAATCCTTCCTTACACAATGTAAAACCTGTTAATCCTTCTTTCCACAGTTTAAAACCTGTTAATACCTCCTTTCTTAGTGTAAAACCAGTTGATCTTGTCTTACACAAATTAAAACCTGCTAATCCTTCCTTACACAATGTAAAACCTGTTAATCCTTCCTTACACAATGTGAAACCTGTTAATCCTTCATTACACAAAGTAAAAACTGTTAATCCTTCCTTACACAAAGTAAAACCATTTAATCCTTCCTTGCACGACGTTAAATCTGTTAAATCTTCCTTACACAAAGTAAAACATGTTACTCCTTCCTTACACAATGTAAAACCTGTTAATCCTTTCTAACACAATGTAAAACCTGTTAATTATTTCTTACACAAAGTAAAACCAGTTAATCCTTCATTGCACAATAGTAAACCTGTTAATCCTTCATTACACAAAGTAAAAACTGTTAATCCTTCCTTACACAAAGTAAAACCATTTAATCCTTCCTTACACAATGTAAAACCTGTTAATCCTTTCTAACACAATGTAAAACCTGTTAATTATTTCTTACACAAAGTAAAACCAGTTAATCCTTCATTGCACAATAGTAAACCTGTTAATCCTTCATTACACAAAGTAAAAACTGTTAATCCTTCCTTACACAAAGTAAAACCATTTAATCCTTCCTTACACAATGTAAAACCTCTTAATCCTTCTTTACACAATGTAAAACCAGTTAATCCTTCCTTACACTAAGTAAAACCTGTTAATCCTTCCTTGCACAATGTGAAACCAGTTAATCTTGTCTTACACAATGTAAAACCTGTTAATCCATCCTTACACAATGTAAAACCTATTAATCATACTGTACACAATTAAAAAACTGTTCATTCGTTTGCTTACCTATCTAGGGAGTACACATTGTGCATCATCGTCATAATGTGTTACTGGTCTGACCCTATATGTAACCATTTATTTTTGAAAATTTAAACATGTGTAATACGCATTTGATGCTTTTATTACAAATCATTACCAATAAAACTATTGATGAAAATTTGAAGTTCCCCTTCAATCTGTTTTATAATCTATTTGGTAAGACGAGTATACAGTGTGCGAGACTGCATATACCATGGATGCCATTGTTAAGGCCGTTGTTATAACAACAGGAGTAGTTATTAACTGATTAGTTATCAGTATCATATATACATGTAATATGAATTTACTGAGAATGCTGTCGGTATAGTAAAACATTGATATTTTATGTATGATAGTAGTTTTAAATTTTCCTGACCTGAATAAAACCCAGTTAACAGTTTTGACAAATCTGATTAAAATTATCTGTTACATGGCTCCGCCTGACCTGAATGTGCCGCGGTCAGTGTCACGTTCACGTGACCTTTAGATGAACCAATCAGAGGCGCGCTGGCAAAAGTTTGCCAGCGAATCGGAATATCATGATTGATACATAAATAGCGAGGGGTATCGAACAGATTAGTTTTCCAAAACAAACATGGCGGCGGGAACTGACGTTTCTACGACGCCAAGGAAAACGTACCCATTGGGTAATAATTGCGTAGGTAACACCGCCA